CGCTGACGCGTTTTCAGTTCGTCCTTAGTGCAATCACCTCGGCATGTACAATCAGTTCGGTTTTTAGTTTAATCACCTCGTCCGGCACGTGGCTCGGGCCACGTACGTGGACACGTGGCGGGGTGAGGTGGCGGGTCTGACACAGGCCCGTAACACTTTACTTAATTCTTGATTTTCTTGATGAAAATTATCGTCATTTAGAGCTCCTGCGCTAGAAGAACAACTCACAGAAAGATTTGAAGACCTTTGAAAATGGGTTCAACCATGGCAATAACTTCATCTTCTAAAATAGGTCTAAGAGCATCAAGCCTCTTTGCCAAGAATCAAATCAAATCCATTCCATTTTTTCTGAACTTATCAACTTACACTACCTATTTATCTTTGTACAATACCATGTATATGCACGGAGTCGCTGCTGGATATGCGATGACCGAGAGTTCGACGGTGAGTGGATTTGATGATGGTTAAAATTGGTAGCGAGGATGAGATGAGGCGATTAGAGAGACATGAATCGGTGGATGTCAAAGGCTAAGAATAATGTAATTGGATTTTAGGGTTTGATTTTTATTAAAATTAATTCTCCTTTAATATAAAATTATAAGTTTCTTGCAGTGGTTTTGAGTTTTTCAATTTTTTTCCAAAATTTTCAAGTACAATTGTGATGTGATTGGTTGTCAGATTTTTTCCATTTTTTGTACAACTTTTTATGTTGTCAACTCAAGGATGTGTAGGATATTTAAATTCTTCAGAGGGACAAAATTGTCCAAAAATGACAATCTTGCAAAGACTTTGAAAAACTGACATTTTTGAAAATGTAAAGCCAAAAAATGACATGTAGTGCAATTTCCTCTTGAATATGAGATTTAGTCTAAGTCGGAGAATAAATGTTGATAATTTATTCTAATAAGGCCTTAGGATTAGATACTCTCCTAATCAGGATATGTTGTTTTGTCGTGGACGTGATGAATTCCTTTTAAGAGTATTGATACTAGCACACTGAGTATCATAATGTATTGATTAGGACCACACGTGTAGGTTAATTTTTGTAGAATGACATATTCACAAAACATTAAAATACACGTGTATATTCTGTTACCTAAATTCGCTTTGAGTAGTGGTTTCTATTAATGAACTCAATGGTTTTTTGCAGTACCAATGAGTGAAATTCGATTATAAGATCAAATACTTCCTTGTGATGGGAGCTAATAGAATTGAAGTAGTAAGCACATATTCGTGTTTCTCTATTAGATGAATTAATGAATCTGCTTAATTTTTTTTAAGAGTATTTTGAATCTAAGCTCAGTATTCGAAGACACTGGATCACTATTCTACGATTGCACTACATGTCATTTTTTGGCACTTAAGTGAAATAATTAGAACTTAGGTGAAATATTTGGAAGAGCTAAATGATCATCATAGCTCGGATCTAATTATTTGACATTCTGCGAAGTAAGATATGAAGAAGATAAGTCATGAAGATGTAATTGCAAGTAATTGAATATATTGTTTCTGTGATCTTATATAATTTAAGATATCAGTTTCGCCTTTAGTGAAGTGACTGAAACTAATACTCCCATGTCTCATTTATATGGGCTGGTTTTATTTTTCACATGGATTAAGAAATCTTATTTAATATTATTGAAAAAATATTTTTTTGCCAATTTTTTTTCTAATTTACCCTTATTTAATTATCAACAACTAGTGGTAAATTATTGTTGTAAGTAATAAATAAATTGAATGATTTAATTTTCAATTCTCACATTCATAAATTATTTGGATCATTTCAAGAAGTAGACATCTTTATATTGGTACAATTTCAAGATTAAGTAAGGAAAATTGGTTATAATTAGGCAAATTAAATAAATGCATATTAGTAAATGCACAAAACAAAACATTCTCAATAAAAAAAGATGACTATATAATTGGGGCAAGAAAATAAAGAAAGTCAGCCTATATAAATGTGACGGATGAAGTGATTGTTTTGCACGATCTCGAATTGGCAGTTCGTTATTCAATTATTGGACCTTAAATCATATAGGTTCAATCGGATCCCTTTAGTAGCCTCTTATAACTCTTGGACTAAATTGCATTAATAATGAAAGGTCAAGAATTGTATTACGAAAAGGCAAAATTGCGTTTTCTAGACAGCACACATGAGTGCAACCCTAGACCTACAAGTAGAGGTCTAGGGGACGACAAGGGCATAATTTCAACTTGCTGTGGCTGAATTCATATATAGAGAAAATTGTACTTGCCTCATTGTGTAGGGATGACAAAAAAAAAATTATTCAACTAGATAGAGCGGGGATTACCCACCTAATAGTGTAAATGGGGCGGGGTCATTGCTACGAAACAGGTACGGGACGGGGCGAGTACAGAAACATAGTTCCCACTCCGTTACCCGTCTCGGTTAAAGTTGATTTCAAATTTATGTTTTTTATAAATAAAAAAAAGTTTATTATCATTTTTAAAGAGAACACGAGTTGTTCATAACAAAATGGAAAAAACGAAATAATAATATATACTAACTAAAAATATAAAAAAATAAATAAAAACTAATAATAATAATAAACGGAGGAATAAATTGTGCATTGGACCTGCCTTGCCCAGAACTTATCCCGTCCCGCTTTAACTTGGTATGAGGACGGGGTAATGCGACAAAAATATCTCACGAGATGTGAGTGAAAATGATTGACCCATCCCATACCGTCTCATTGCTATCCCTATTCTTGTGTGATCTTGCTCCGGTTGATCACACTCTTGGAAATGATTTTGGAATTTTTTGGTTCGCATCACTCGTGACACCATAAGGAATACTGAAGAATGTCTGGTGGTTTGAAGCTTGGAATGAAAACTTTGTAGCAGTATGGTCCGGGATTTGAAATCTTGAATTATTTTTCTAATTAATTAAACTTGACCCATAAGCTAATTAATTAACATAAACCCATTAATGAACAACACAATCAATTAATTCTAAAAATATTCCACACTTGTCATTAATTAATTCTTAATATCATTTTTTTAGCTCTGGCTTTTTGTGTACAACCCATTAGATTCCCTATCAAAATATCAGACGACGTGAATTATTATTTTGATTTAATCAAAATATTATAAATTAAAACTTCCCTTTTGTTTTATCATTAATTCACCTATTTATTCCGGGAAATTTTCATAAATGTCACTAAATTTGAAAATCCAAAAAAATTGTAATTTTCACTTTTTTGCGCAAAAATATCACTTTTTGGTACAAAATGTCCAAATTACCCTTAATAGCACCTTTTGAGGAGCATTTAATGTTTGATTTGAATGTAATTAATATTATGATATGATCATTTACTTTAAATATTATAAAAATTATTTATATATATATTGAGTAATAATAGTTTTCTTTAAAAAAAAAAAAGATAAAAGAATTTGAAATATTAATAGGGAAATTTTCCATTAACAAACCCCAACAACACTTTCTTCTTCCCATTAACAAACCCTAACATTTCTCCATCTTCTCCATTCATTGATCAAGAACACATTACAATTGAATTCATCATCCATTTTGAGAGGTTAGTCATAACAAATTGTTTATAATTTTATCTTATAGACTATTATTTTTTCGATGTTTAGATGCAATATGATTAAATGAAATGTGAGAAGAACCCGACATTTATGAACTGTCGAGATAGACAATTTAACTATCGAATTTGGCAGATGAAAACTGTTAACACATCATTGATTTCACTATATGCTACTCCATGAATTTCAATATTCGAAAGTTCCATATTCATATTATCAAATGTAGGCATATTTATTGTGCGGAATTCTTACCGTTACATTCACAATGTTTCAGTTACGAGTAATCATTGGATATTCATCGTGTCGTATGGGAGACATTTTGTTAATGTGAATGACGAATGGAAGTGGAGAGGGGACAAAACCACTGCCATATTAGTGCCGACAAGTATCTCGTGCTACGATTGAAGGACAAACTTGGTATTCTTGATCACCGGACTCAAATTGAATTGAAGTTCAAAGTCCATAACTTGAATATACCGTCGATCGAAATACACGAAGATGAAGACTTAAAATGGTAAATATTAGTTCATAGTGAAACTGCCATATGCGTTACTGTTTTGGAAGCCGAGCTCCCAATTCTGCCTTATGCGTTACTGTTTTGGAAGCCGAGCTCCGAAGTGTTGGCATGGGGATGGATACAAATTGTCCAAATTATTCGTTTGCCGTAGCGGATGTTTACCAAAATATACAACATGAGGAGCTCAATCATCAGCAGAGTGTATTAAACAATAATGAGGAAGTCGAGCTCCCAAGTGTTGGCATAGGAAGGGATACAAATTGTCAAAGATCATTCGTTTGACGTATCAGGGTTTCACCAAAATGTACAACAAGAAGAGCTCAATGATCAACATAGTGTATCAAACAATAATGCACTCGAAACTCCAAATTTTGATATTGTACTTCTTTGCAATCAGCAAGTATGTGCAGTTATTACACAACCACGAAATCACATCTAAAA